TCTCTTTCTCTTTCTCTTTCTCTTTCTCTTTCTCTTTCTCTTTCTCTTTCTCTCTCTCTCTCTCTCTCTCTCTCTCTCCTCTCGCTGAGAAAAGTGATGATCTTGTTGAGAGAAGACTGGGTGATCATGGGTCAGTCTACAGTGGTTTGACAACTCTTGGGCTGAGGATGTTGGCGGAAACCTCAACAAGTTTCAGATTCCCATTCACAGCTGCACCATTGGCATAACCATGAAGAAGGAGTCCCGTGTTTTTACTTTATGGTTCCTCAAAAACAACATGCATCACATGGAAGTGGATTTTCTGAGTGGGATGGCTTTGGGGGGGACCCGATTCCCTACTTTCCAAGACTACGACCTCCACCAAAAGAAATAACAAAAAACAACTTCCACCACTCATTCGTACTTGTAACCCCTTATCCCCCACACGTTTGAGTGTTCTGTTTGACCCACCTTGCAGCTTCTGGATGGTGCTGCCCACAGGGCACCACAACGTTTCCTCATCACATGGGACGCACTGCCCTTCGCGCTCGATGAGCTTGGCTTTGCACAGTCCTGGAAAAAAAAAAGAGAGAACAAAGCGCGATGAACATGAGACAAAAAAACGTGAGATTCTGGGGAAAATTGAGAAACTAAGTATAGTCATTCATAGTCATTCTTGAGGTCTACCTTCTACCTATTATATCATGATATGAAAGGGAAGCACATGTTTTGGAAGTGGTGGAAATAGGAGAGCTTCCTGTATATATATATATATATATTTGTTATTTATTTATGTTAAATTGTAACTTGTTTTGCAACTAACTACCTTGCCGTTTCAGCATAGAACAAACATTGGACATGACCCGATGCCCAACCCATTTTCCTTTAGCTACCTGACTGAACTCTTTGTGTCTCTGCAATTTCATCTTGCCCTAAGAATCCGGGCCCTCAAACACCTCTGCTTTGCTTCGGGCCCTCAAACCCCTCCCCCCCCTTTTCGGTGTCGGAGGTACACCAAGTCGTCCGCTGGATGCGCGAGACCAACGCGAAGACTCCGAGTCGACGACTCATCGGACGACGAGGTTGACCGACCGCCAGGGCGACCGACTCTGGGCGACCTGACAGCCCCGCTTCGGCTGCGAGACCTTTCGGTGCGCCGAGTAAGCGAGAGCGAGACCTCCCCGCTCTGGGCATTTGACCAGTTTGAGCGGAGTATGTCTGGTCTCAGTCTGACTGAGAGAGGGGGGTTTGGTGACGTTGACATTCTGAGGACGACAAATGGTGAAAGTCTGTTGGAGACTTGCTTAGCGTCCCAAGGGCTCTTGGCCTTACTACTAGTAACAAGAAGCTACTAGGAGCGATCGGACGCTACGAACGGGGCTCCTGGCATCACCTGGGATCAACCACATCCATCCGGTGCAACCGAGCTGCTTGCTCTCGGGTAGCCGCCAGCAAGCGTGTGGTGCGGTCTGCAGGACAAGCCATGCAGCTCGCTTGGTGCTCCAAGCCCTGGTAGAAGGCGACATCACCTGGTTCGAAGGAGGCAGGCGCCGAAAGAACCCTGAGTCACTTCTTCGCTTCTGCACTTCTGCGATCGATTTGATGATATAGCTGGATTCCAAGTCACAATTCTTTCAGACTCTCTAGGAAAAATGTTCACCAAGTAGGACATATTCCTGAAATCAGCACCAGGCCATGATTTTTGGACCTCAACAATGCTTGAGGGCAATCTAGACTCTTGATGTATTTATGTATATATATATATATATGTATGATTTGAGTGTTTTCAAAAGGTCTGCGATGGTTGTACTTTCAACAACTTCTTTTTAAAGTTGCAAGTTTCTTTTACAACTTCTTCTAGAAGTTACAATGCTCAAACAAGGAAAGAAGTTTACAAAAAATGTTAGTGTTCGGTTAGTGTTCGGGCGACAAACGGTTGTTATTTACAAATACAAAGAGAAATTTGTAGCTCTATATTAGTGTTCGGCCAGTGTTCGGACATGCATGTTGACAAGTTCTGAAGTTCTTTAGAACATTGTAAACTTTTTGTAAAATTGTTTAGAGTTCTTTTTTAGTGTTCGGAAAGTTATTCCTTTAATCCAAAAGATTTAAAATGTGTATAAAACAAGATTGTTGCTGCGGAAAGAACATTGTCTATGCGGAAAGAACATTGTTGATGCGGTTTGTGTGCATGCCTTTGAAGACCTTCTTGAAAACGCCCAATTTATGATATATTGTGAAGGGGTCTTACAACCCATGTCCGGGCTGGGGGGGTGATTTCTCCAGAGTCTACATTAAGCCAGCAGCTGCATTGGTCGAATGTTCTGTGCCCTGTGCGTCGCCATCACCGAGTCACAAGGTTTGCATTCCTTTCTGCCAATGGTGTCACTGTAGGTACCCCGTGCGCACGGCTTGCACGAACCTCAACCCAAAAGCAGAAACAAAGCACCTTCGAAACTGGTAGCTACAAAGTATACTTCGCTTGAAAAAAATGAAACAAGCGATTCCTTTTCAAAGGAAGCATCTGCAGTTAGGCACTTCCACTGAGGAACTGGAGAAGACTTTGTCTTGGTACGTCCCACTCGGGCAGGCGCTGCAGCGATACGTCTTCCTAGGGGCAGCGACGTACGGTATCTTCAGGCGCAGGGGGGCACAGGGGTTGGCACACGACCCCGGGTTTCGCAGATCTTCGGACACGACCCGGTTCTTTTCTGGGCCACATGGCCCCAATCATGTGGTGATGCGGTGGTGGGTTTTCTGGTCCGTGATCCGCGTTTCGATTCTTCTCTGAACCCTTTACGTTTCTTAGCGAAGCCAAGACGTGCTCGCTGGCCATGTTAGAAAGAGGTGTGCAATGCTCAATGTTCAACAGCTTCCTGCCGAGCTTCCCAATGTCATCTGCCAACTCCTCAGAGAAGGTCCCTTCGGGACACACAGCACAAGTGCTTGCCGCGGCTCCTTGGATGAAGATCCGGGATATTGCAGCTCGTCTGTCTCAAAAGAAAGGGAGATACGAAACGCCAACAAAAAGCCATGGAAAGGTGTTGGTGGTGAAAATGATTATATAATCCTGATTCTTCAAAGTGACCTTTCAATCTCCCAGTTTGAGGTCACTTGGGCCTGTAAAATGACCGGGACTCGACTCCAAAAAAGGTCATGAACTGAAGAAGCTGGAACCATGAAACATGTTGGTTGTGCAATCCATTCTCTTTACCAGGTGAAGACTCGCAGGTCGAAGGTGAGACTCGGTTGCAGGGATGAGTCGAAGGGATTGATTTTTCAACCCATGTTGCAAAAATGCGCCATTATAGTCAGGTCTGACCACTGAGCCCTTCAGAATGACAGGTGAGAAAGTGGAAACGAACTGCCAACCATTCTACTCGTGGCACAAGCAAAATGTTCGAGCAAAGACTGCACTCCCTGGCTATGACGCATCCCTCATGCAATGGACCGTTCAATCCTCGGGTGCACAGACCCGGCGGACAGGCACTACTCCACCCTTGCAGTTCAGGGGATTGGCTAGGGTGAGGACCGTTAAAACACAACAAAAGGCCTGCATTCCCTCGTCTTCCTAAAGGAAAAACTGCATCCTTTGGGAGTTTCAACTAAAAGCATGATCTTCTCAGTTGTGGAGGACCAACGAGGCCATTCAATGCTTCCTCTGAGCAACGACTTTATGGGACTGAAAAGCAAACCTCTGGCTTGTCTCTCCACCTCAGTCTGCCTTGTGTATGGTTAAAAGTATGTAGGAATCACGCAGCCCAACAATCAGCAAGAACCGACCACCAACGATGTCAACCAGATTCTGGCTTTCGGGATCATGACCCGCATCCCATATCACCCCGTTCATCTCATCCCAGGCTCGAGTTTGCACGTGGACTCCCTGGTCGTCGGCCAGTCCGAAGCCCTCGTAGCAGTTCGTGCTCACCGGCACCCAAGTGGTCCAGCGAGCCACGTTCTGACGCGCCCAAGCGCAGGAGACGTTGTAGCGGCTGCCCTCGTTCTGAACCTGGCGATTCCACAACCCTCAAAGGTCACAAACATCACAGAGGATGTGACTGCAAACCAAGCCCAACCCCCCGCTGGGAGGATTGGCAACCCCACACAAACCCCGTACTTTGTCACATCATGTCCTGATGTAGAAAGACACAGAAACCAAACCTCATAACCTCGCTTCGGTGGCACGAGGACCCAAAACAATGGCCCCACAGCCATGCAGGTAGCCCCACCTGCAAAAGGAGATCCATGATCTCTTTCAGTTCAAAGGTGATCTGCGAGACAAACTCCTGTGACACAGCCAGCTGCGCAATCAAACGACCCGATTTGGGTAACTCGACCAGGTGGAGGTCTTTGCGGAGTGGAGGCTGTCCAAAGAATCAGCAAATCTGAGTTCGTTCTCCTTAAGCCTTGACTGATGTCAACTCAAGCTACTTCTGATCATAAAGCAAAACACCAACGCAAGCAATGCCGAAAACGTTGAACAATCAGACACCATGAACATCGCTGAACTGTGCAGAACAACACCGGTGTCTCTAGTTCAACAAAAAAATGTTATTAGATATTAAATATACATTGATATGACAAATCAACCAGAACCACATAAAGGGAAGCAGTATCCTTCCGGTCGTGGCAGTTGTTTTGGTGTGACTTCTTTTGTCATGTTTTTATGTATAATTGTATATGTATTGAATGTTTGTTGTTTGTTGTATGATCTGTTTGTATTTGGTGCCTTCAATTGATGTGGTGTTTGCCATGTTCTTTTGTGAAAGCAGTTTTGATGGCTGTTTTTGTTGACATGTTTGTCTGTTTGCCTTCTACTCCGGGGTTGCCTTTTCTACTTTGCGTGTGTGCAACATGTGCTTGTGTTGCCTTTAATGGTCATTGCTGGCGGGTTGGGTTTGGTACTTGTTAGCTTTTTATAAACCCTTGACTCTTCAGAGTAAGGCAGCATACATCACAAAGTTATCCGCAGGAGTATCCCTACTGACTCCCTCAGCAGTCCCTGGAGCATATAGCCTTCTTCCAACTGTTGGAGTTGAGAGGGGGAAAACCCAGTCAAAGCATCTCCAGGCCATGGGCCCGCACCCGGACATGGAACTCTTGTTTCTACTAGCTTCTTGTTACTACTAGTAAGGCACTTGCTACTACTAGCGATGCACTTGTTCCTAGTAGCTTCTTGTTACTAGTAGTTTCAACTTGAAGCTGTTCACTTCCTGAAAACCGACCCATTCCACCGGAACGCCACATCTATCGCCACACCCCACCGGCTCGCCCGCGTTCACTTCAGCTGTTCGCCCCGTCCTGGATCGGCCGCGCCTTGGAGGACAGGTCTTGGCCTCGGTGGGAAGCGTTCCGATGAAGAGGCCGGGTCTCACACGGTCCGTGCGCCGCGGCGAGTCTCACAGGCTTCGAGGGCCGAGGGGGAGCAACGGATACGTTCGGACCGCATTGGAGGCCGAGTGTGACGATGTTCCCGGACATGGATGGTCTGTTTCAGTCCGGCATGCCCAAAGTGTGCCCTCGGTCGGAACCAGCTCACCTACGCCATTCTTCTGACCAGAAGCTCACCATTTTGGCCACATAGCTTCCGACTGCGCTGGTCTTCTTGTCTCCCATGCTCCACTCCTGACGGCTGTGAAGACCAGTAGCCGCCCCACAAGCATCCACAACCCAAAGATTCAGGTACCATGGTGCCTGAATGCTTTTCCATGCATCAAGTACAGCACCACCTAGAGCCTCCAAAGTACCGTACCTTAGAAAATGAGACATGGCCCCATACAACAGGTACTGGTACCCATTTTCTGAGGTACTTTGAGACTCCAGGCACTCACAAAGTAGGTGGGGCGTGCAGCGATCAGGGATGGGGGACCCTGCTGGACTTACGACTTACACTGCAGACAACTAGATGTCCCAAAGGATTTGGACCAATGATGTCAACACATACCAGGCTTTCTTTCAGTGGTACACTTCATCCAAGGCTCCAAAGCTGAATGCCTCGGCATTCCAATTGGCTGAGGTCCCAAGTCCTCAGTGCCCAGTGACAAGAAACCAGGCAAGTTCCACATCGCCTGCCCCGAGGGTCAGTATGTACTTTAAAATGTGGGACGTGACCCGAACAAAAGAGCTTTCTTGGCATGGCAAGGAAAAACACCCAGCTCCTACAAGGACCCTCCAAGCTCTGCAAAGCTGTCACCACCTGTTCGGGTGGAACTTGTATCCATTCTCTGTGGTGTGCCCATCGGATCTACGTACAGGGCAGCCGCGACGCCGCGACATCAACGACATCGACGGATGCTGCACCGCCAGACGGGAAAGACCAAGCCGAGCAAAAGAATGCTACACTCCCGGATGGGCTCTTGTCCCACATCCAAAAAGAAGGTGGGGACAAACCTTGCCCTGACACCCACACCAACCACCTGTCTCAGACAGTTGGAGCCCGACCCACGCCTCATTCTCCAGAGTTCTGGAGCTTTTTTCGCACCCACGGTCTTCCGTGATTTAAATCCAAGCGTCGATAAAGGTCGAATCGGGCACCCACCAATAGTGCAGAACTCGATGCGCCCGCGGTAGGGCCACATAATCGCCCCAACTGGCCGTGATGCCCACAGCCTGGAAGAGGTCGCGTTGTCCAAAAAACGAATTCTGCGGCTTTCCAAAGGGTGGAGAGTGACCGAAGAGATCCGAATGGCAGGAAATACATTCAAGTGCCAGGGGTCTTCTTTTCTTTGGCCATGCCGCAAAATAGATAAATAAGGAGTCCAGCCACTATAGGGGCCATCCTCCACTTCCCGGGACTAAAAGCCATTGGCCCATCTGCGCTGGCAAACCAAAACGCCATCCATGCGTCGGCCAAGAGCGGATTTCACCGCGGCGACTTTCCTCCGAACTCATCACCTGAGACCTGGATGGAGTCTCCACCCTGGTTCCTAGAGAAAAGTCCTCGTCCAGCAACCCAGCCATCCACGTAACCAGTGTCAGAGAAGCCTTCAAGAGCTTTGCCGCCAGCAACTTTGGGCCATTCGGGTTCCTCCATCATGGGTTCCAACGTCTCTACCAGGTCCATGCCGTCTCAGGGGTCTCAGCGCAGGGCCCGCTCCCCGTCACACTCCAAGCCCGGTCAATTGGTGCGTGAGATCTCGATCCGCAAAGCCACTGATTTCACACTCCAAGCAGCAGCTGGCAAACCATATGCTACCGCCCACTGCATGATCGCCTGCAATTTCCAGCCAGTTCCTTGGGCGGGATCGAAAGCAAGTCTAGCGTCTATTCGCTATTCAATCTGCATGAACCTTTCTTTCTGTCTGTCTGTCTGTCTGTCTTTCTTTCTTTCTGTCTTTCTTTCTTTCTTTCTTTATTTCTTTCTTTCTTTCCGGTTAGTGAGTTGTTCATCGTTTTGCAGTGTTTGCACGTTGTTCCTAGATTGCTACAGCAAGAGGGCTTTTGGACAAGTCTTCGGGCCCACAACTAGGGGAGTGGTTTCCCGAGGCACCCCCGTGCAATTCCTCCTTTCAAGGCGCGAAAACACACGAACACAGTTCAAGAAGTATGGTAAATTCACAAACAGTTATCGTTTTTTTGTGAGTTCCCTATCGTTCTACAGGGTCTTGAGCACTTCCGCCAAATCAACGGGACATTCCAAAAGGGAGTTCCTGCCTTTACAGTATTTTCCACATTCCGAGCACAGATCCACGCCGAGTGGCCTGCCGTGAGGATCGGAATGCAGTTGTGCGGAGTGGGGCGACACGCCGGCGCAGGCCACCAACGGCCATCTGGACCTGGTTTGACCGAGGAGAACCATCACCTGGTTTGATGCCATGGAGGAAAACCACTGGTGCTGGAGGAAAGGACCATCTTTCAGGCTGCCATTCTCTGGGTTCGTGCTAGTTTTCAGGAGTGTAAGAGATTGCAGCAGAAAGAAGGTCCAAAACGGAAGGAAAAAAGAAGAAGGTCAGCACCAAATACCAATGCGTCAAAACCAGGTAGGTCTGGTCCTCCATGTACGTACGTTCCACGACCTTCCAGGTAGGTCAACCGGTCGGTGTTTTGACCTTTGGAGCCATATTATGTGTTGCTTGTACAATTTGAGGGGTCTCCCCTTTATCAAATCAAGCAAACCAAGGCTGTAACACACCCACAGGCTGGACTCCGGAGGGGGGTCAAGTTCGAAGCAAACCAGCTAAGTGCACAACCACGATGCACTTTCGAAACCACGAAGAAGGAACACGGATGTGAATGGCATTCTTCTTGTTTTTTCCGGGGGACGAGCACCTCTTTGATTTCAAGCTCCACTTCCATCCTTTTCAATTCGTCCCAACGTTCGCACCGGTGAGTGACCACCATCCAGACACTGACGTGGCCTGACCGATCACGCGAAACGATTGACCGATCCCAGGACCTGAACAGGAGGAATCGATGTGAAGAGTCGTTCACACCAAGGAGTTTGTTTGAAGTACCTTATTATATACCTGCAGTCTCAAAGTATCTCGCAACCTGGGTACAAGTACCTATTTCTTTTTTTAAATAGGGTCATGTCCCATTGTTCAAGGTGCTTTGGAGGGTCCAGGTTTGTATACACTATATAATACATATATATATATATGTGTATGATATTACCTAGTTATAGACCATGTTTGTGTACCAATGGAGGTCGCATCAACATCTGCTTTGACCCGGATTCCCCTGCGGCTGCGGCAAAGGAACACTTGGCCACATAGTCTCCGCCTTGCTGTTCAACTCCATCATAGTCCAAGGAATACTTCACGAAGTCCGACATCCTGCCGCATGCCATCTCTGTTGAAAATTGCGCCACCGAGCACCAATCAAGACTGGAAAGACTGGATGCACATGGATGCGCATAAATTCAGTGATTAGACGCAATGAAGTCAGGAAAGCCCCAACAAGAATGACATGATACCGGAAAGAACTGACATGAACTGACATGCATGCATTCTTGTGGTGTTTGTGGATACAAAAAGAAACACGAACCCGTGGGTTTCCACCGTATGTTTCCACCGTATGTTTCCACCGGATCAACAAAAAGACCGGTGTCTTAGGGGGCCGCCGAAAGGGAAAAAAACCTTCCGCCGACCCCCACAGGTGATGTCCCTACCGCCCATTCCGCGTCCGCATCCGCACAGGCCATCGGTCCGAAGGCTCTTCGGGTGAAGCACCGGTCCTTTGGGCGTTGGAGAAATCGGTCTCATTGCACCGAGAGATGGCTTCAAAAGGAATGTCCGAGATCGATGAGAAGTACTGCTTGGCGTTGTGATGCGAGACGTTGTAACCTGCTCTCGGTGCGCTGAGGTTCGGGAGGCAGAAAACTCTGCTCTCGGTGTGGAGGCGGCACTCTGTTCGTGGCCGGTTTTTGTTGAGTAAAAATCACCTGATCCTTCCGGAACAAGGGAGATTCATCCTATTCCCCCAACGTCCAAGCGAAGGTTCGTCATGGAGCTGAGCAGAACCATTCGGAAAATGGGTGCAACTAGCAATTCACATGTTGAACCATCCAAAGATCTGGACCAAACTCAGTGGATTCACATGGCCCTGCTTTTTCGGAAGGGCCAGCTAGAAGATGTGCTGCCATAGATTTAAATGGCGCAAACCCCAAGATGTCCTTTAGATTCTGGTCCATATAAACCACCTCTTGGGGATTGTCCCACCTATTTTCAACCCACCACACAAACCATCTCTTTTGGCCTCTGTGGCTGCCCAGGAACTTTTGTAGAATTCAAGAGCCAAGCCTTCATTCTCGTACCCTTCCTGCAAGAGGTTGGTGTGCACCTCACATCGTTGCTTTCACCGCACATGTCCCATCTAATGGCCAAGTCCTCTTTCAGCAACGAAAAGGCAAACAAAAAGAATGGAACCAACAGGACACCGCTCTTCATTTCCCCAACAATCGCTTCAGGTGTATGTTCATTCAAAACAGGGGATATCATCACAACCAAGCACATTACCGATGAACAAGGTTGCCCTTGTCATCCATGTTCACAAATAATGTTCCCACCAACACATGTCAACTAATTGTTGTATTGTTCTTCTCAGTTGCTGATTAAATCACACACCTGAAACAAAAAAGGCTGCTGCCAAGCCACGTACACAGACTCCTCCCCGCTGTAACCCATGGATCCCAAGTCCAGAGGGGCAATGTTCGGATAATGCGTTTTCATTTGCTCATACGCACTGCCTTGGTTCGGATTTTAGCACCTAATGAAATGCAAGTTCCTGCTACGAAAACGGAGTTGGGGTTCGTTGTTGTTCCATCAAAATCCAGCAGGGCAAAAGCCGCAACAGGTTCCACGTACCCCCACACACATAAAACGGCATGCAATATCTACCGCGCATGAGTGCTCTTGCGAGCCAAGTGCAAGCAACTTGTGAAAATGTGTAAACATGCATGTTGCATATCGCACACGTATAAAGACGAAAACAACTGTATATAAATGTGTGTGTAACTACATGTATACGTAGCACCCCGCATGGACCTGTCTTTCCTTCAAAAACTACGTTTGTTGCAGGTTGCAGGTTTGCGTACACAAGTTGTTGCATCGTAGTTGAGTGATACATGGACGGAGGGCCAAGCAAATGTGCAACACAAGAATTATGCAGGGAGGATTCGATGCAGAAAGGGTTGACTCACCTGATTCGTTGCGCTCTGCAGCAAGCTGATCAAAAGTAACCCCACTGGCGTTGTTCTCACTCCCCCATGCCCATCCACACGGGCATATTCCTCCCCAGTCGGTCGGGACACACCCCTCTCCCCGAACTAACTAGGCCTCAGGAAAGAAAACATATGTTTGTTATATTTACTTTTGTTGCTCTTGTTGAAACATTTCAAAAGGTTCATTTGCACCTCTCCTCCGGCAAAATGTCTCAAACCAAAGGAACCATTATACCTCCGGGGTAGAACTACATATGCACCTGAGCCCCAAACAACTGACCAAAAAAATCACACCAAAATGATGCAAAAGTGCCGAAAGCAAGACAAAAACAACAATAGCAGCCAGCAGCCAGCACAAAAAACTGTAGTTGGAGATTCGCCTGAAAACAGCCACCACCTGGAAAAAGCAGCGCAGCCTCCTTTGCGAAGTCCAGGTATGCATGCAAGTGGATGCATGCTGTAATTTCCCTTGGGTCCAGACTTGTTAAGAACTCCTTGTGGGGTGACTCTTCCTTTGCACTGGTGTTCCCTAGAATGGCCGGGTGGGCGGATGGGGGAGTGATGATGTTGCTTCATCTTGGGTTTGGTTTTTGCCTTGGTCGGCAACTACAAATGAAAAGGCAAGCATTTTGCACAGCTAGAAGATCTGGTATATGCCTTGGCTCAGTGAGGGTGGATAATAATATGAGACTGGCACGCGCAAGCACAGTCCCGACCGCACCCCCGTGCTTATACACCACTTCTTTTTATCACTTGGGTTAGAGGGTTAGAGTCCAATGTAAAATCCTCATGAAAGAAGAACCTGAAAAATCACGTTATTCATTCAGTTGGGCTGCACAGCCGCCGAGCATCAATACATGGTTTAACAGCCCAAATCAGTTTCATATGTGAATTCTCCCCGAAATCATCACCCGATTCTGGGCTGGCCAAGCCAGCTGCTGTAGCCAAGCTGCTGTAGCTTCCAATCCAAGAATCCAAGCTCACGTGCATCACAGGCTCCATCTCTCCGCATTGCTTGTCGTTTGCAGAGTTGAAATTGCCTCAGTTCGCACGTCGTTCGCACATAGTAAGCAGCGGCATTTGGGTGGCGTGATTCCAAAAGCAATGTGTTCGGTGCGACACGTGTTCAGAGAAAGTATTTCCTTGAAAATCTTGAAAGGATACTTGTCGACTAGACTCTGGGTGTCACCAAAGTCGACTAGGTGCCAACTAAGCTACCATCAATCATCTTGACCCTTGACATCACTTGGGGTCAAGCAAAACCGCGACAAACCTAGAACGACCGAGCTACGACACCCCGCGAGAGCATAGATGGGTGCCGCCCCTGAGCCTCCCAAGGGTTCGCCGATCTCCGCGTGGAAACCCAGCACCTCCTGCGGCGTTGGAACTTCAGCGCCCAAGCGCAGTTCCAAAATCGTGAGCGTGTGTGTGGCTTCCCAGATGTGCAACCCCCATGTTTTGAGCGAGTTGGATTCCATCCGTCTAGGTTTTTGCCCCTGTTGCCCCTGTTGCTTTGAGCTTCGGAGATCGATCTGACATCCACGGCCTGGGCGCCGCATCTGTATGTCGAAAGAAGCCATGAAACAGGGACTCATGGCCCCAGCCACGGCACGGTCCTTGATCAATAGCTTGGCCAACTCAGCCAGGAGTCCTAGACCGTGGAGAGAGACGTGGGAAGGGACGTGTAGTTCTACGTCGTGAGGTGCGGGAGACGTGGCAAGACGTCTTCCGTCGCAGAAACACAGTCTTACGTCAATCGGATTGACACCTCAAAGAGCCCCTTCGACCACTGTTCCGGAGCTGGAAAACTACTTGGTTTCTCAATGTTCCTCCATGTTCCTCCTATCTCGTTCACGGCTTCAAGCCTCGTTCATGCCCTTTCGCATCCCAAGACACTGGTTTCGACTGAGACTTCGGCTAGCTTTCTCATGCCAGCTGTCAAATACCTGGACGTACCGGACATACCCTGGAAAACCCATGGACGTGGACGTGGACGGGCCTCCTGGAATACGGAGGACGTACCCTCTGCAAACAGGGAATTGTCCACTTCCATGTGAAAAGGGAGTGTGCCAGTGCCTACACACATATCATGCGTCCAAAGCTTAGGACCCTGAACGACAAACCAATCGATTGAGGGTCGACCTTTACGACGGTCGATTCATCTAACCCAAAGAAGACCCAGAATGGTTTTGCATCTCCATATGAGGGGTATAGATGATATAGCAACAGTCTACAGTCTACAATGATATTCCAACAAGCCATGGGACTGGAAGAAATGAATATCACCCTAAAAAATATGAACCTCTCACCTTATAACATCTGAAGAAGATACCACCTATGCAGGCAAACATTTCAGTCCCATGCATTGCTGGGGATTGCGTCGTGGATCACTTCCTCCCGAGATCGCTCCTGCAGAGGGCCAGTTGAGCTCCAAAATGCCCACGGGCATGTCATTGCCTTGACCTTGGGGCCATCAACATAGACCCCAACGAGCTCGACATGGTTCCATGATGAAAGCAAACACATGCAGAAATGATGCCCATGACTCTGCCTATGCCCACGGTATAGATTAACACCTTCCCAGCTGTAGTCTCCTTCTTCCTGCTGTGTTTTAGAAAGGCACAAACACAAACAAATCGCGGCAAGACGAAACTTCTTCCAGGTGACCATCCTTCAGAAAGGCACGTTCCTCTTCAGGGATGCCATCGGCCAGGCAAAGCGGCGAGCCTGGTCCACGGGAGATGGGGAGGATTGTAAATTGTACGCCACTCTATTCCCATAAGATCGGTCACCTGGATTTTTGCCGTTTGGAAGCCGGATAGATCGTTTCCGAGCTTCCCATTTTTGCAGGTTAAGGATCTTGGTGGAAAAAAAACGCGGTGCAGTGATTCCTTTGCCTTCGGACTTGGCGTTCGCCGAGCGTTCGGTTGCCCGGCCTGCAGCTGCGAGGGAAAAAGCTGCAAGTAGTGGACACGCTCGGAGCAACATCTCTGATCACCAGGAAAGAAGAGCTGATCGCTCCGAGGGCGTTTGAGCCAAAAAACGACTACATCGATCACGTTGACACGCGACGGGACCCGCCTTCTGAAAAGTTTGTGACCTCTTTTGGTTGGAGACCTGTGACAGGCCTCAAGTGACCTCAAGACCGGGAGATCGCGTTCGGTCACCTACTGAAGCACCAAGGGACAGGATGCATTCATTTCAAGAGATTCTTCCCTCCCCCACAACCCTTCCTATTGAAAAAGGCATGAAACTGCAGGCATGAAACGGTGCGCTGAAGAAAAGCGGTTTCAAACGGGTGCCTCACCGGTTGCCTCCCAAACACGACCTGTCTGGGACTGGAAAATTTGCACATGTAATTCCTTTTGAACCAGATGAAACCACCCAACTGTTCGGGTTTGTGCAATCCATGCATGGATCATCTGGCTTCGATTCTCGTGGAAGCTGCGCGAGAATCGAAATGGACAAGGATTTGATGACCAGCAAGCTCCCCCACGACTGAGCCATGTAACCCTCCCTAGATCCCATTGTTTCCCATGGACTGACCCATGCTGAACATGTTCTTTCTGCACAAATCTGGTTCTGGTTCTGGGAAGATGGAGACAAATCAACCAATCAGAGGTCCATCGGTCCATCATAAGATATTGTGTTTTTCTTGTTCAATACTCATCTCTGGACAGCGCCGCAGCGCTAAACGCAATCCGAAACAACAAATCAAATGATCAACGAAGCAGGTTGCAAGACCGTATGTCTACATAGATGTTTGGGGCTCTCTGAGTGGTCTTTGTACACAACAGCGTCTTCTTTCTACCAACATTGCGCACTCAGTTTTCGGGATACTTCGAGTTTCGTGGCTATTTCGCGCGCATTGCACGAGTTGATCGCTTCACTTGTTCGCGAAGCGGGTCGGCCTGCGAAGCGGGCGGGAGGCGGGCGGAAGTGAAGATGGACCTGGTGGAATGGCTTCCGGGCCGCGAAGTCCGGGCCAACGTGAAGGATGACTCCGACATGTGGGAAGCTACTGTTACATCTAGTTCTCTGGACTGTTGCTGTCGCTGTCTGATATACAGTATAGATATCTATAGAATTCAAAATATATATTCATAGACATATATACGTAGGTCTGATCGAGTAGCTTGCGACGGTAGCTCACAGTACTTCTTGAGCGCATAAAAACAGCAACAGCGAAAAACACGTTGGAGGAATCGATTCAAAGCCAAAGGAGACAAATGGAAAAAACATTGCCCATGACAGACTTTACGCTTGCGTATGCTTGCGCTTTCTGAGCGAAAGCGCGCACCCATGCTAAGTGCGCACCGCCGCTACAACGCACCGATCCGAAAACGAGTCCCGGCCGACCGGATGGTTGAGGGAATGTAGACTGTGAACTGAAGTCCAGACCCTTCCTTTCAGATGGAAATGCAAAACCATTCTGTGTGTGTTTTTTGTTCATACAGAAATAATACCAAGCAAATGTCTGGAGAAGTGACTGGATGTGGCACCCCAAAGCTCCTCCGTTCGGGCACCACAACATGGCACTGCTGGAAGATATATATATATATACAGTAAGGAGTAAAAGGCCATATTATTCAATTCTCACGTCCATGTGGTCCGCCTTGGGACTTGTGAGCCCTGGAGTACGGCAAATGGGCACTGGATTGGTCAGTCGGACATCGTCGGACATTGTTGAGATCTCTTCTGGTCACAAATACCAGCTTGTCAGTGCCCCAGCTGATCCTCTACAAACCGGTACCTGCAAATGATCCAGCATGAGCTCGAGGGAGAGATGGAGCAGGAACGTGCCCTGGGCGCAGAATAGACATCCAACTCGAATCTCGGGCGCGGCGCTGGCTGCGTGCATGCACGCTTTTGAGGGGTCACCCTTGTGAGGGATTGAAATTTGCTTGATCAACTCAGCTGATGAACCCTGATACCATGCCCAGCTTGGGTGTAATCATTGTAATCCCTCAACCAACCCACCAACCCAGGAAGAGCATCCGTCCAGGCCCCGTCCAGGGGCACCCGTGCCTACAGACGCACGTTCTTCTGCAAATGAATGGGTTGGCAATACCAAGTGAAAACTGTGTGAAGAGATCAAACCAACGAAATGGACTTGCATCCCTGAAATGGATTTGTCTCCTACCAGGTAGTTCTTGAGCAGCAGGTCTCATGCTGCATGCTTGCGAAAGCTAACGTGTTTCCACGACCTGATGCAAGTGACGACCCTCTTACCTCGACGGACCCCGACGTCAGAACCTCTGAACACCGCGACGTCTGTGTGGGTCCAAGCAGTTTGCATCCGGTTTCAGGGGTTTCGTCAGGTCACTGGAGAAATTTGGGCCACTGGTCAACCAAAAGGCTTGGCCGTGGTCATCAAAAGAAACAAAAAACAACTCTATGACCACGCGCCTCGGAAAGCTCACTCCTCGCACGAGGCCATAGAAGGGCCACCGCCTGGAAGAAGAGGCTGTGTCATGCGCAAGCTGACGACTTAGTCGCTGGCTGCCGCTGTTGTTATGAAACATTCAGAAAAAAGACAAATCCAACAAGTGAAGAAAAAGACGAATCCAAGTGGTGAAACAATCCAAGAAGGCATTGTCTCAGTGTGTCTTGAACAAAAACTGTGCCTCGACAAAATACGTTTTGACTGGAAGGAAGGAATTTAAGCAGACACCGAACCACTCCCAGGTCCGGAGGGCAAAGGTTTGAAATTCACATGATGCTGGTCGGAAAGCTGCGAAAAGAATCGTGGTATACTAGCTCCCAAAGTGCTAGTACTATTGTTTAGCAGGATGTGGAAGCAAATCTTCAACCCGAGGACCTACTTGTGCAGGAGTGTCTTCCCGGAAGTGTTTGTTCTTTTGGTGATGGTTGGCGGTGAAGAACTCTGATGTCCCCCAAAACCGACTAAGAGACATGAAAGGCATGATGTCATGAGGTTGGTATGAATATCCTATGTCATCCGTTATGTCCCGCCTATATATAACTTGAGGCCGAGGGTTGGTGACGAAAGCTAGCAGGGCGGGTGCGAAGCGGGGAATATCCGACCGAGAAAGGTAAGGAGGGGTGGGTGGGGGCCCCCCCTATATATGAAGTTTTCACGCGATGCGGCGCTCTCGAGGATTCCAGCCCCTCACTTGCTAAAGTAAGAACAACTCCAGCTAGCTGGTGCTAGCTTTCGTGACTGGAACCTGATTGACCCCTGTTTTGGAGCCAAAACATGGTCTGTTCCCATCAAAACAGAGGTCAAACGGGTTCTAGGCTATGTCTATATACCATGGAGGTCAAAGACCATGCTTAAAATGGTTGATCTGGTTTTGTAGTGTAAAATCCTTAGTTGGTTCGGGATGCAGCCTATAAATTTAATGGTGGTTGGAAGTCTAGGGTATACATATATGTCAGGTTCCACCGTCCTCGTTTTAGACCACTTACTCTGGTCGTTCCAGTCGTTCCACCGTCACCACACCTCCCAGGAGATCACTAGCGGCACATGGTGTGCCGTTGATGGCCTTCGCTCGCCGACCTCACAAGGTGTGAGGTGCGGCCGAGCGTTTTGGGCTGAGTTGCTTGAAGCCTTTGAAATGAGAAGTCAGAGCGCAAAGCGCAATGCTTCCTTTTCAATTCAGCCATGCAGTGAAAGTCATGTGTAGAGTTGTGTACAACTCGATTTGGGAGCTGGAGTAAGGCAGGAAATCGTTGGAACCCAGTGGAACCCCCACTGACCCCGAAAAACACCATGCCCTTTTGACCGAGAGGACCTGCCGCACGGCCTGCCGCACGGCCCAAGGGCCCGGGGCCGGAGGGTGTCGGACAGCGATCGATGTTTGGTGTGAATACCCACATCTATTTCAGCCTCTATATCCGGATGTCCGAACTCATGTCAGAATCCAAGTTTGGTTTTATGAATCTATGTCAGGAAACAAATGTAAACAGTTCAAGTTTGGTTTTATGAATCTATGTCAGGAAAAATGTAAACAGTTCAAGTTTGGTTTTATGAATCTATGTCAGCAAAAAAAAGAGTAAACAGTTCAAGTTTGGTTTGATGAATCTATGTCAGGAAAAAAATGTAAACAGTTCAAGTTTGGTTTGATGAATCTATGTCAGGAAAAAATGTAAACCGTTCAAGTTTGGTTTGATGAATCTATGTCAGGAAAAAGTATAAACAGTTCAAGTTTGGTTTGGTGAATATATGTCAGGAAAATTACTTTACTTCGAAATTCCCCACCCTCAAAGAATTGGTCTTCACAAGAGAAAAGCGGTTCGGCGCGAAAAGGATTTTTTATTGAAAACAAAACCACACATCGAGTACTTACTTGTGAGGTTTCTGAACTTCGATATTTTAATGCCTGGCAACCCCGCATCCCTGCCAAGTCAACTTGTGGTGGATATGCTGTGGAACTGGTACTTGGGAGCACTCTGGTGAATGTGCTGGTGTAAAGGCTACGCTGGGCTACTCGGGGCCACTCTGGTGGATGTGCTGTGTAAGGGCTACTCTGGGCCACTGTGGGCCACTCTGGTGGATGTGCTGTGTTCTTTGGGTTGCTCTGAGCTACGCTGGGACCACTCTGGTGGATGTGCAGAAGTAGCGAGTCTACTGAAGTCCAAAGTTCTTAAAATCTAACAGCCCCACAGTCCTACGGGTGGGGAAAAAACTGCTTTGATAAGTACATTACAAGTCTACAACTATCCTGCGATCTCTTTGGTAAATGTGCTGTGGAGAAGCTACGTTGCGCTACTAAAAACTGTGGTTGCTGTGGACAAGCTAAGTTGAACTACTTAGAAATCAGTTTGTGAATGTGCTGTGGAAGAGCTAGGCAGCTAGGTTTAGCTACTCAGGGATCAGTTTGGTGAATGTGGTGTGAATACTCAGAGGTCATTTTGGTGAATGTGCTGTGGAAGTGCTACGTTGAATTACTCAGGGATTACTTTGGTGAACAGGGATCAGTTTGGCGAGCGTGCTGTGAAAGAGCCACTTTGGGCTACTCAGA